ATTTCAACGAGATTTTTATAATTTCAACAAGATTTTCATAATTTCAATAGGGTTTTTTAAATTCCAATAGATTTTCTAGAATTTTGTTTGATTTTCTAGAATTTGAATTGATTTTCTGCAAATTCAAGGTGTTTTTCTTTAATTTCAATGGCTCTTTTTTAGATTTTCAATATGTGATCTTGAGTTTTCTAGAATTTCAATGGGTTTTCAAGAATTTTAGTAGGTTTTTCTGAAGGCATTTTAATTATTATTAGATTATTGTAAATCCAATAGGTTTTCTAGAATTTAAATTGATTTTCTGCACATTCAATGGGTTTTTCTATAATTTCAATGGCTTTTTTCTAGATTTTCAAAGGGTTTTTCAATGAGTTTTCTAGTAGTTCAATGAGTTTTCTAGAATTTCAATGGGTTTTCAAGAATTTTAGTGGGTTTTTTGAAGGCATTTAAATTTAATTTGAATTTTAATTGATTTTCTAGAATTTGAATTGATTTTCTGCAAATTCAATGGGTTTTTCTATAATTTCAATGGGGTTTTCTAGAGTTTCAAGAGGTTCAATAGATTTTCTAAAATTTTAATTGATTTTCTCGAATTTGAATTGGTTCTCTGCAAATTCAATGGGGTTTTCTATAATTTCCATAGCTTTTTCTAGATTTTCAATGGGTTCAATAGATTTTCTAGAATTTCAATTGATTTTCTAGAAGTTGCATTGGATTTTTGCAAATTCAATATGTTTTTCTAGATTTTTAATGGGTTCAATAGATTTTCTAGAATTTCAATTGATTTTCTAAGATTGGAATTGGTTTTTTGCAAATTCAATGTGTTTTTCTATAATTTCAATGGGTTTTTCTAGTTTTTCAATGGGTTCAACAGATTTTCTAGAATTTCAATTGATTTTCTAGATTTGAATTGGTTTTTTTACAAATTCAATGTTTTTTTTGTGATTTTAATGCGTTTTTCTAGATTTTCAATGGGTTTAATAGATTTTCTAGAATTTTAATTGATTTCCTAGAAGTTGAATTGAATTTTTGCATATTCAATCGGTTTTTCTGTAATTTAGTAGATTTTCTAAAATTTGAATTGGTTATTTATAATTTCAATGGGTTTTTCTAGATTTTCTAGTATTTTAATTGATTTTCTAGAATTTGAATTCGTTTTTCATAAATTCAGTTGGTTTTTCTAGATTTTCAATGGGTTTTTCCAGATTTTCAATAGATTTTCTTGAATTTCAGTGAGTTTTCTAAAATTTCAATGGGGTCTCCAGAATTTTAATGGGTTTAATTTTATATAATATTGTTTATTATACTTTGTAATAACAAAATTTGTAAAAAACATTAGAATATGTTGATAAATTTTATTTAATTGCAATAGGATTTTTGTATTTTTTTTATAATTCCAATAGGATTTTCATTATTCCTATAGGATTTTTATAATTTCAATAAGAGAATTGTAAATCCAATAGGTTTTTTAGAATCATAATTCGTTTTCTGCAAATTCATTTCAATTTCAATGGGTTTTTTCTATAATTTCAATAGGTTTTCTTGAATTTCAATGAGTTCTCTAGAAATTCAATGAGTTTTCTTGAATTTCAATAGGTTTTCAAGATTTTTAATGGATTTTTCTGAAGGCATTTTAATATTTTTAAAAGACTTTACGTCCTTAAATCCATTGTAGTAGTATATTTTAATATTTTCTACTAATTTAAAAATTCTGAATCAAGTTTTAATTCTATACAATCTACTTAGACTTTAACAGTTCAATATTTTCAAATACTTTTTAATAGTTCCATATTTTGATATTTTACATCGATAATTTTCATATCTTTCCTATCAATGCAATTACAAATGATTTCTTACGACTATTTACACTTCTGACTTTTTCTGATAAATCATGTTTATTTCTTTGAAAAACACTTAATATTTTTAATAACCTAATAAATTTTAAACATTATTGAATATTTACAAATTCGGCTCTGTCCAAATTCAATTTAAGGAAACGGATAACGTCAATAAAATGTTAAACACAAGAAATTCTCAAAAGAAATCTTCCATCTTATTGTTCAAAGAGAAGCCGAATAAATATATATATATGACTAATAAAATTAACACACAGACCTACAATAAAAGTTAAAAATAAAATAAAAATAGAATTATATAAATAGTAACGAATTATAAAAATCATAAAAAATTATATAAATCATAAAAAATTATATAAATAGTGAAAAATAGATTGAAAATATTAAAAATTCTAATAGGTTTTCTATAATTCTAATGGGATTTTTAAGAATTCTAATTTGATTAAAAAATCTAACTAGATTTTTTTTAATAATTCCAATGAGATTTTTTAACAAACTTTTTGCCGGTTTATTTTTATAAAATATTCAACGATATCTATCCATGGATTGTTTTTAAAAAAGTTTTTGCCACTTTCAAAGATATATTGCATTTATCAAAATTTCGATTTCAAAGTTGTTTTAAAAATAATAATATATTCTTGGCGAACTTGTAAAAATTGGAAATCAAGGGTATTACTATTCGATGGCAAATTAAGAATGTTATTAGAACAACTTTTTGAATCACCAAAATATCTACAATAGTTTTTATAAAATTGCATTTTTACACTTTGCAAATTTTATAAGTTGTAAAAAATCAATATGGATCCTGCGAAATCGAAATGTTTAAAAATGCAATATCTCGAGAACGCTTTGAGATATTTTGAAAATTCAAAAAGTCGTTTATATAACATTTTTAATTTGCCATCGAACTGTGGTACCTATTATTTGCTGTTTCAACTTGTTCACTAAGAATGCAACATTATTTGGCATACTCATATGGAAAGCATCAAATCCTGAAGATTTATTCATGTATAATGTACTTTCTTGAAGAACTAGTAAAATTTGGAAATCAAGAGTATTACTATTCGATGGCAAATTAAAAATGTTATTAGAACAACTTTTTTAATCACCAAAATATCTGCAATAGTTCTTACAAAATTGAATTGCAAATTGCAAAATGACTTTGCAAATTTTATAAATTGCAAAAAATCAATATGGATCCTGCGAAATCGAA